CCTATTCTATTTTTTAAAAAATACTGGTCACAATTCATAAATTGATTTTATTACTAATGGATTATAACCTACAATTTGAGAAATACTGATAAAAATAAAGAGAATTTCTAGTCCCCTTTCCCCTTAGGGACTTAAACCTTAAACATTGTCACTTTATCTGCTTCTAAACCACTAATTTTCTTGGTCTCACCTAAAACTTATCACAAAAATTACACCAGCTCCAAAATCATATAGAACATTCTGTTCTCAGACTACAACATTCTGTCCTAGGTTATGTGCTCAAGTACTCCCACTACAGTTTTTAAATTACATTTAGACCACATTGATTTGCAACTCATGTCTGTTCTTTCTTAGCCAATAGTACATGGTCGAACATTATAATCATATCCTTAAAAAGATAATCAGTTCCCATGTCTCTTCTTTACTTTTATAGAATCACTTTGCAAAACCTCAAATCTTGATGAACTACACAAATTTTTTTTTAACCTACACATGTTCCAGCACATGCAACCAGAAAGACTGGTTTCATTAAAAAATCATACAACCAGAAAGACTGGTTTCATTAAAAAATTGTCTCAAACTTCCAATAATCTCTTGGCACTGTTTGACAGCCCTACTACTCTCTGATATGACTATTTCATATTTATTTTCTCTTCATCCCTCCTGCCCCATGTGCTTTCTACCCTCACCACCCAGTTGATGATATCACACAATGGTTCTCAAAGTGTGATCCCCAGACCAGCAGCATGAACATCATATGGGAACTTATTAGAAATGAGAATTCTCAGGCCCTACTCCAGGCCTACTTAGTCAGAAACCCTAGGGTTAGGGCCCAGCAATCTGTGTTTTAACAAGCCTGCAGGTGATTCTGATGCAAGCAAAAGTTTGAGAACTACTGGTCTAGCCTTATACTTCATTGAGAAGCCATTGTCTAGAACAGTGATGGCGAACCTATGACACGTGTGTCAGAGGTGACACGCGAACTCATTTTTTTGGTTGATTTTTCTTTGTTAAATGGCATTTAAATATATAAAATAAATATCAGAAATATAAATCTTTGTTTTACTATGGTTGCAAATATCAAAAAATTTCTATATGTGACACAGCACCAGAGTTAAGTTAGGGTTTTTCAAAATGCTGACACGTCGAGCTCAAAAGGTTCGCCATCACTGGCCTAGAATGTAAGCTCCAAAGCAGGGGTTTTTGTCCTTTTTGGGCATCTATGTATTCCTGTGGAGTAGAACAGTGCCTGGAACATTGTGAGCCTCAATAGCTATTGTTGAATCAAACCATTAGATGCGAACTCCCTTATTTTCCTACCAAGAAATTGGAAACCTACTTGCATCTGTCCCTATTTTCTTCCTTTTTCAATTAAGGAAATGTGCCTCGTCCTATCAAAGGTCAATATTTCTGTATATGAACCGGATATCATCCCTCCTTGCCTTCTCAGGAACTTTGCTCCTTTGTTCCTTCCCTCTCTCCTGCATTAGCTATCAATCTTTCTCTACTAGGTGAAATCATTTAGTATGCAGTTGGATTCTGCACCATTCTAAAACTACAAACTTTCCATGTCTTCATATCCCCTTTCAGTCACTGCCTTTATTCAGTGGTTCTTGACAAAGTCAATGACTTTTTTAAAGATATAATTTACATACTGTAAAAACTGCGCTCTTAAATTGTACAAGTACAATTAGGTGGTTTTACTAGTAGTGTATTCAGAATTAACCATCACTACAGTGTAAGATGCAGAACATTTTTATCACCCCAAAAAGAAACCCCCTACCCATTAGCAGTTCCTCCCTGTTTGCTCCACCTCCCAGCCCTAGGCTACTCTCCTCTACTTTCTGTTACAATAGATTGCCTATTCTGGACTTTTCATATAAATGGAATAATCCAATATGTGATCTTTTGTGACTAGTTTCTGTTGCTTACCATGTTTTCAAGGTTCATACACATTGTAGCATGTATCAATACTTCATTCCTTTTATGGCTGAATAATATTCCATTGCATGAATATACTGCCTTTTGTTTATCCATAAGCAGTTGGTGGACATTTGGTTGTTTTTACTTTTTCGCTATTATGAATAATGCTGCTATAAACATTCATGTCTGAGTTCTTGTGTGGAAGTATGTTTTTATTTCTCTTGTATATTCCACTCATAGGAATTGCTGAGCCAGGTAGTAGCATTGTGTTTAACATTTTAAGGAACTGCCAAAGCTGTTGCACCATTTTACATTCCCACCAGAAATATATGAGAATTTGAATTTTTCTACATGGTCATCAGCACTTGTTGCCTCTTTTTTTATTACAGTCATCCTACTCAGTGTGAAGTGGTATCTCGTTGTGGTTTTGATTAGCATTTTCCTAATGACTAATGATTTTGAGTATCTTTTCTTTTTTCTTTAAAAAAAAAATATATATATATATATATATTTAAATATATTCCATTGATTTTTTTACAGAGAGGAAGGGAGAGGGACAGAGAGTTAGAAACATCGATGAGAGAGAAACATCGATCAGCTGCCTCCTGCACATCTCCTATTGGGGATGTGCCCGCAACCCAGGTACATGCCCTTGACCGGAATCGAACCTGGGACCTTTCAGTCTGCAGGCCGACGCTCTATCCACTGAGCCAAACCGGTTTCGGCTTGATTATCTTTTCGTATGGTTTTCTTCTGTTTATAGATCTTTAGAAAAATATTAATATCCTTTGTCCATTTTTAAATTGGGTTGTGTTTTCATTATTGAGTTAAAATAGTTTATATGTTCTAAATACTAGTCTCTCATCAGATATAATTTGCAAATATTTTCTACCATTCTGTGAGTTGTCTTTTCACTTTTTTTCCACTTTCTTTTTTTAGAAATATTTTTTTATTGATTTCAGAGAGAAAGGGAGAGGGAGAGATAGAAACAATAATGACGAGAATCACTGATCGGCTGCCTCCTGCATGCCCCCAACTGGGGATCCAGCCACAACCTGGGCATGTGCCCTGACTAGGAATCGAACCATGACCCCCTGGTTCATAGGCCCATGCTCAACCGCTGAACCACACCAGGCTGGGCATCTTTTCACTTTCTTGATTTTCGGTCCTATTTAATTCTTATTTCGTTGCTTGTGTTTTTGGTTTCATATTTAGGAAAACCATTGCCTAATTCAAGGTCATGAGGTTTTACTGCTATGTTTTCTTTTAAGATTTTTATAGTGTTAGCTCTTACATTTAGGTCTATGATCCATTTTGACTAAAGTTGTGTATATGGTGTAAGGAGAGAGTCTAACGTGATTATTTTGTATGGATATCCAATTGTCCCAGCACCATTTGTTGAAAAGACTTGTTCCCCCCATTGAGTTGTCTTGGTACCCAGTCAGTGATTATATGTTATTAAATTCAATATCCAGCTGTAGCCTGATGGCTCAGTTGGTTGGAGCGGCGTCCCATACACCAAAAGGTTGCGGGTTCGTCCTAGCCGGTTGCCAGTGGTTAGAGCGTTGGCCTGGGATTACAACTGTCTCCTCATTGGTTACTCTCACTCATTTTTGCTTGCTTCCAATTTCCTTTGACACAGCAAAGCAATATTTTTAGTATTATTTTAATATTTTAAGTAATATTTTAATGGCATTCTCTTGCTCACAATATTCAGTGACTTCCAACTACATTTTGAGTAAAATCCAAATTCTTTTAAAAAAATATATATTATTGATTTTTTACAGAGAGGAAGGGAGAGGGATAGAGAGCTAGAAACATCGATCAGCTGCCTCCTGCACACTCCCCACTGGGGATGTGCCCACAACCAAGGTACATGCCCTTGACTGGAATCAAACCTGGGACCCCCCCAGTCCGCAGGCAGACGCTGTATCCACTGAGCCAAACCGGTCAGGGAAAATCCAAATTCTTACCATGGTTCAAAGATGCCTGTTCCTCTGACAATATTCCCTGTCATTCCCTTACGCACTATACTTCATCTTCTTTGGGCCTCATTCAGTTCCTCAAACATACCAAACTCTCAGAAAGGGTTTGTACACGTTATTTTCTCTGCCTGGAATATTCTCTCCAAAATTCCCACCCCTACATAACTGAGGCTTTCTCATCCTTCAAGGCACGGCATTCCTAACCATTCTAAGGAGTTACCCCCTCTTTTATTTTCTTTCACTGTACCCCATTTGTTTCCTTTATAAAACTTGTTCCAATTTTAAATTATATCCTACTAGAGGCCTGGTGCATGAAATTTGTGCACGGGGGAGAGGGGGCGGGGTCCCCCTCAGCCCAGCCAGCACCCTCTACAATCCGGGACCCCTAGAGGAATGTCCAACTGCTGGTTTAGGCCCAATCCCCTGTTTCCTAATTCTTGGTGAAATAGCCTTTTATTTTTCTTTCAGAAATTGCCCTTCCTTTTTGGCTGCTGCTTTAGCCAGAGCCACATCAGATGAAGTCCTTCAGAGTGATCTTTCTGCACATTACATCCCAAAGGAAGCGGATGGTCTCGGGATTGGGCCTAAACCAGCAGTTGGACATCCCTCTCACAATCCCTCCTAACTGCTCACCTGCCTGCTGGCCTCATTACCCCTAAATGCCCCCCCTGCCAGCCTGGTCACCCCCAACTGCCCCCCCTGCCGGCCTGGTCACCCCTAACTGCCCCTCCGCCCTGCTGGCCTGGTTGCCCCTTACTGCTCCCCTCTGCTGGTTTGGTCGCCCCACGCAGCCTGCCAGCCTGCTATTTGGTTGTTAATGTTACTGTGATGGCATCCTGGACAATTTGCATATTCCTCTATTATTAGTATAGATTTGTTTACTTATCACGTCTCCATAACTAGATTTTATGCCCCCCACTAGTCAGGGGCTATTTCTATGTTATTCACCAGTATACACACCCAGTGCCTAGGCAGAATGCCTAGCACATAATATGCACTCAATAAATGTGTTGGGTATTGTTTAATGATATAATTTTGTTTTGAGAAAATATATTAATAACTGATTATTAATCATGCTGAATTTATTGTTTCCTAATTCTTACTGAAATAGCCTTTTATTTTTCTTTCAGTAATTGCCCGTCCTTTTTGGCTGCTGCTTTAGCCAGAGCCACATCAGATGAAGTCCTTCAGAGTGATCTTTCTGCACATTACATCCCAAAGGAAGCGGATGGCACAGAAGGAACTGTGGGTGAGTACCATTCTACATTATTTGTTTGAAAATATTAAAATATTCTCATGTGTAGTGATCCACAGAAAATGTCTGCCAAATACTAACTTTAATTATGTTTACCCACTGGTTAATTGTATAGTGGAAGCATGGATCATTTTACTTCTTTTATCCAGGCAAATTATGAGGTTTTATTTATTAAAGAAGGTGTATTTATTAATGTATTAGACTTATACATATTAGATAAGCTCTAAAGAAATACCGATTTTTATAAAAATTAGGGAATTACTACAAATTGTTAAGGAATTTAAATATTTCATTCTGTGTGTTCTATTTCAAGCATTTGCCTTTCAACATGGTGCATAAGGAGCAAAGCATATATTAATGAATCAGAGTAGCTAGGTTCCAGAGAATCTGAGGCAGATATAACAGTAAACATTCCTGTTCTTCCTTTATCTCTCTAGATCATTTTGACAGAAAATTGGCAAGGAAGTAATTCCTCTGCTTGTTTTTACTGAGAGTAATTGGTTCACTTGGAACCAAATTATTCCAGAATCAAGTTGGATGGAATTCCTGCTACAATGCATTGGTCTTCCTTCTGTTACTGATGCATAAAGTAAAAGCCCTGTAATGAAAAGATAAGGGAGATTAAATTCTGCTTCACTGCAGCCAGGCTGATGGCTGACTCAGCTCCAGCTCAGTTCAGTGACATTAAGACTGATGAGTAATTTACAGCTGTTAGGGGGTGGACTACTGCTTTGAACAATTTTCTCACCCTTTTAAATTATTTTTTCATTTCAGGCAGCAATTATTTATATACTAATGTTCTATACCGCTCCCCACAGAAGGAGAATACTTAAAGTAGCAAGATTGAAATACTGCCCTACATGCCTACTTTGTAAGAATTCTCTGACACCCTCCCTCTCCCATAGGATAGCAAAAGTGAAATGAAGGCATTTTTTCTTTTGGTGGATATTACTGGTCGTTTTGATTGTATATTTTTCCAAGAGATTACCCAGTAATGTATTCTCCATGCCACTGCTGTGATTCAGCATGATCTATTGTAATTCAGGACTGTTTGCAAGCCCTTAATCTATTTAACCCAAATCACTCAATGTGAACTGCACTGAGGAGAATACCTACAGGGCGAATTGTGTTTCTCCATATATCAGAGTGGGAAATGAGCTTATTGAATAAGGCCTGCTGTCATTGAAATGCCTTTTGTCTCTTTTTTTAGTTGTTTCCAAAAACAGGTTAAAAAAAAAGTTCTTTTCATGTTTATATCATCCCTAACAATGTTTGTTAAACAACCCTGCATATCTGTTGGTACAAATTTATTTAGCAGATGTAATGCCTGTCCAGACAACCTAAAATCCATTTGAAATATCCCAATGTAAACATTAAAAACAAAAAGGGGAGAATTATCATTAATACAAAAGAAATTAAAAGAATTATTAAAATACTGTGTGAATGCATTTGAAAATCTGGATATTTTCTGGAAAAATACAAATTAACAAACTTTTTGTAAGAAGAAAGAGATTGAGAAGATTGTCAAGAAGCTAGCTATCTTCCCCAAAGGACAAAGAGTAAGTGATTCTCCAGGTGAACAATTTCAAACGATCAAAGACACATAATTCCAATGCTCTTGAAAATGAATTATTCAATTTCATAAAAAGGAAAATTTGCACAGCATAACACTGATACCAAAACTTAGACAAGCTGTCTAGGACAAGATTTAAAAAAGAAATGAGATCAATCTTAATAATCAATGTTAAATATATTAAGTAAAATATTGGTAACATTGAGTACAACAGTTCATTATTTTGATGAGTATTTTATTGAGAGCCTACCATATACTTAGCATTTTGCTGGCAAAATAGCAGTGAACAAAACAAAAATATTGGGAAGTCTGTTAGCATAATTTATATATTAATAGGTCAAAAGAAAAAAAACACAGAATAATCTCTACCTGTGTTGTCCAGTGCAGTAGCTACTGAGTGTATGCAGTTATTGAGTGCTTGAAATATAGCTAATATGACCAAAATACTGAATTTTAAATTTTAAGTAGCCACACTGCAGCTAGAAAGGTATTTTATTGAACAGTCCAGGTCTATAAAATAAGAGTAATATATAAACCAAAGAATGATGTAATGGTTTATATTATTATCAGTTATTTGTTTCCGAATTCATTTATCATTTTGCAATCCTCTGTTGTGACTGAGTCAAATGCATCTCCAAACACATATTTGGAGTGATACAAATAGGCAACTGCTGGCTGAAAGAGAGAGTGTCTGGCAGCTGGTGCTTAAAAAAAAGATTGGAGTTGCTTAAAACCATCAAAATGTTGTGTGTTCTTTTGGCCTCAGTTTCCCTCTTATATACACCTCCCTCAGGTTTTACTTGTTCTTTCAAATGTACCCTTGATTTTCAGTTATATAAAAATGTCAAGGGGACAAAATCACAAAACATAGTTTACCACCCTGGATTATGTTAATGAGAAAAACAACAAAAAATCTTGAAGTCAATTTCTGAACAGTCATTTAAAAAAGAAATTTGAATAAGAAAACAAGTAACTGTAGTCACAGATTTAGGCAATGTCTGGGCAAGGAATATAAAATGAGACTAAGTTCCCAGGCCGTTCTAAGAACACACAGTCTCTCTTTGGGACTTGTGTTGTAGATGGCAAGAGGCATGCACAGCCATTTCCCATCTGGCACACATTTTCTCAGGCTGTCAAGCTATATGTGACTTAGTAAAGTAAAACAAAAATTTGAGAATTCTATTTTTTTTTTTTTTTTACCTGGGATGTAAGAACCACCTCTAAAATACTGTCCTGAGAAAACCTAATCTCCCCTTGGTTATTTCAATAATTGCAGCTTGAGGAGAGGACAACTTGAGTGGAGGTGATGTGAGACAATAGGGTCAATACTATTCAGTGTTGCTTAAAAGGCTTTCTTTCATATCTGTCCATACACTGAGGGATGCAAGTCAGTCTCAGAAACCAGCTAATAAGTTGAGTAGTAGACTTAATAGTCTGGGAGTAGAGAATCCTTTGATTGTTATCTTTTTTTTTTTTTCTATCCAGGGTTACACACATAGAATGTAAGTATTTTTTCCTTAGAGAAATAAAAAAACTTTGTTAACCTATTGGCTAAACTATTTAAGCTACTGCCTAAAGCTTTAAATAAATAACAAAAGACATCAACAGCCCTAGCCAGTTTGGCTAGTGGTTAGTGTCGGCCTGAGGACTGAAGGTCTCTGATTCAATTCTGGTCAAGGGAGTAGGCTCCATTCCCAGCTGCCAGTCAGGGCGCATGTGGGACCCAGTCAATTGATGTGCCCCTTTCACATCAATGTTTCTCTCTCTCTCCTCCTCCTCCTCCTCCTTTCCACTCTCTCTAAAAAAAGCAATGGGGGGAAAATATCCTTGGATAAGGATTAACAAAACAAAACAAATAAACAAAAATAATTTATTTCTGAGTTATAATCAGTTACAGAAGAAAAAACGGAGAACTGGAAAGAGGAAAAGAGGCTAGGAAGGGGAGACAAAGACAAATGATAAGGTAAACTCTTCTGGTCCCTGTAGTTTATAAATAAATAATGTTGCTCAGAGGCCTTTCATGTTCTAATCAGTTGGATAGCCACTGTTCGTATTTCACTCATCTAAGCATAGGGGTCTTGGCCTTCCAGATGATAACCATGGCAGCCAACTGAGCAGGAAACTGCCCTGAACTAGATAGCAGTGGCCAGAGCACTTTGTGGGCTAGACAAAACCCAGCCATGGCGAAGACCCAGCCCTGAACAGAGGTTTCTCCTCATGAAACAGGATCATCCTAGTGGCAGCTGGTGGATGATTTTCTAATAGATAGGTTGTCATTTTCTCTTTTCAGAAGCAATACTTCGTTTCTCTTGAGAAGAAGGAATTTCTTTTATTAAGGAGGAGCTTAACCGGTGTGACCTACTTCTGTCTTTACCAATCAGGCAAGTGAAAAGCAGCTTTACAAGGCTCTTCATTGGGGGTTTCTGTGTTTCTTTCACAGAGATTGAGACAGTGAAATTGGCCCGTTCTGTCTTCAGCAAACTACATGAGATTTGCTGCAGCTGGGTGAAAGACTTCCCTCTCCGCAGGAGACCCCAGCTTTATTATGAGACATCAATCCATGCCATCAAAAACATGCGCAGGAAAATGGAGGACAAACATGTCTGCATTCCTGACTTTAATATGCTCTTCAACCTAGAGGTAAAGGGCACTTCTGAGGTCAATGAGATTTAAAAAAACAGTCATGGTTTTCTAACAGAACTCCTAATATACAGGGTGGGTCAAAAGTAGGTGTATAGCCTGGCTGGTGTGGCTCAGTGGTTTAGCATTGACCCATGAACCAAGAGGTTACTGGTTCGATTCCTAGTCAGCCCATATGCCCAGGTTGCTAGCTCAATCCCCAGTAGGGGGCATGCAGTACGCAGCCAATTGAAGTTTCTCTCTCATCGGTGTTTCTATCCCTTTCCTTTCCCCTCTCTCTAAAATCAATCAATCAATAAACAGCAATTAATTTTAAAAAGTGGGTTTACAGTTGTGAGTACAGGAGTTTCTTTTTTAAAAAAAATATATTTTTAAAAATTGATTTCAGAGAGGAAGGGAAAGGGAGAGAGAGAGAAACATCGATGAGAGAGAATCATTGATCGGCTGCCACTTGCATGCCACCTACTAGGGATAGAGCCTGCAACCTGGGCATGTGCCCTGACCAGGAATTGAACCGGTGACCTCTTGGTTCATAGGTGTATGCTCAACCGGTTGGGTGGGAGTTTATTCTTGTATTATTAATTACTGTATTATTTTCCATATAAACAACTGTAAACCTACTTTTGTCCTACCCTGTACTTCTAATAGTATCTGATATGTCTGAATAGGATTCAAGGCAAAGTGGCACAAATTTGCTTGCATTAGACAATAGAAAAGGAATTTATTTTGAATAGGTAATGCATTCACATGGTTGAGTAGAAAAATAAAATCTCTCTTATCTTTGTCTCTCCAACACTCAGTTCCCTTCCATGAAGGCAAGGGAATTACCAGTTTCTTGTGTAACTTTCCAGAGCTAGTCTATAGACATACAAGTAAAAAAGAAAACTGTTATATCACTATAAAGCTGTGTGTTTTTTAAGGAAACTATTTTGATAGTATAATCAAGTGGTATTTATTAAGTTCCCACATTATGTTGCTGAAGCGCAACACAAAACACAAACATAAAAGAATGAATTTGAGACAGTTTTCTGATTTCATGTGGTTTCCTTTTTTAAATCTTGGTTTCTGATAGGAAAGTAGCTGGAATTACATTTCCTGAATCTGTGACTGACAAATTGGATCATATGAGCCTTGTCAACTTAATAACCATGTTCTTGTCATATTCCTCTTCTCTTTCTATTAAGTCTATTATGTTAATGCAAACAGAGGTAGGTTTGTTTTCTTTGCCTGTCACTTACCTCTTTCCTTCACTTAAGTCCATAACTTAGAAATTACAATGTAGTCATTTCTACAAAGCACAATACTTCCTTTATTTAGCAGTTAAATTTAAATTTAAGCCGAATGTCAAGGTCTGATAAGCAGTGATGGTGGTTTAGTAACTGGTGCTTATATTACAAGATAGATGAGGTCATATCTTTGTTTCCAAATGTTACCATGTCCATGCAAATATAACCCAAAGCATTTTTTGTTTGACATAACTCTTTTATAAAACATTGTCAATAAGAAATGGAAATGATCTAAATTATTGCATATAGGGAATAACTATGATATGTTCATAAAATGTATTGTACACATACATTTAAAGTTATGTCTTTGAGAATATTTAATGACATGGGGGAAATGCAGGATATAAAATTCAATGTATAGTACGATCCTAATTTTATTGAAAAATGTATATATGTATGTATGTAAAAGACTGGTTACCTGTGGATGGTGGGATTATAGATATTTACTTCTTTACACTTCTTTATCAGGCCAAAAAAATGTACACCATCTTTATAATAGAGAAAACATCAGTATTTTTTAAAAATTTAAGAAGCTATACTAATTATTTAAGAAATCCATTAGACTTCTTCCGTTTCTTCTGATGCTATACTAAGAATCTCTCCACAGATCTCACATTGTTTAGTTGCAGTCTCAAGTCCCAATAAAGGAATTATTGCCCCCTCTCTCTGATAATCCCACAGCAGCTCATTCCCCATCATTTAAAAACTGCTTATATATGCTGTTTTTCTATTTTACCCTTATCCTGCCAATTGAGTTGTATAAAAATGAGTACTACTCTTCAGTACAGGACTGTTTTTCTAGATCAGTGATGGCGAACCTATGACACGCGTACTCATTTTTTTGGTTGATTTTTCTTTGTTAAATGGCATTTAAATATATCAAATAAATATAAAAAATATACATCTTTGTTTTACTATGGTTGCAAATATCAAAAAATTTCTATATGTGACACGGCACCAGAGTTAAGTTAGGGTTTTTCAAAATGCTGACACGCCGAGCTCAAAAGGTTCGCCACCACTGTTCTAGATAGATCGATTTAGTCAGTTAACCTTGCAGGTGGTGTTCATTAAACTGCTAAATTAACTAGTTGTAATGTCTGTAGTAAGTACAGACTTAATAATATTTGGGTGTAATCATTACTTTCTGGACCTTTACATGTGGTACTTATATAAATGTAGTATACTCTTTAAAAGAACTTTTCCAAAGTACAAATATACCTGTTGTTTTAGTAGTCCTTCCAAATCCCCATGAGATAGCAACTCACCCCTACCTAATAGATAGGAAAACAAGCACAAAATAATTATATGGTTTACTTTGGATATTTGTTTGAATGACATTTGAATGACAGGACCTAGACTCATTCAAGCTTCTAGAGCTCAAGGAATGTCAAAAACTTACAAATGAAAATCATTAAATACTGTCATCTAAAGAGAGTCCAGGACTCAGAGTTCAGTGAGTTATCTATCTCCTAAGCAAGCTAGATCTGAGATTTAAATACTTGAGTTGAAGAAGCAAATTACTTAATGGTTTTAATGTAATCTTGTGATTAGGCTTCCTTTGGCAGGACAAAGCACAGGTTTGGAAGCCCTTCCTCTGGCAGTTGTTGGGGGGGTGGCGGGCGGGCGTGGCAAGGAAATGGGAAGCTGAATCCTCCAATAGGGGACAAGGAAGTGTTACAGTGCATTTGGACATCTGTGTGGTTCAAGTTTTGCCAACCAGTTTAGACTGTGTTATTTATGGTGAGGATTCAATGTGACTATGAATGATTTATGAGGGCGATATTATAGTTTAAAAGTATGTGTATGCTTTCATTATCTCTATGTATTTTAAACAACCTAACATAATTGGACTTGTGCTGGAAGGCCAATTATTTCCTATTGTTTGTAGTTTCTAATTTTATGATTAAAATGCATTTCTTTTTGGAAACATCACTCAATGCAGAACAGTTTTTGTTCAATCCCTCATACCTTCTTTTTCCTTCCTCTCCCCTCAAAATTGTAGTAGCAATTTGAAGCAAATACATGTGGGTGGTTTCCATGGTGCAAGACAACTTTCACAGAGAGAGGGCACTTCAGCCTGAGCTAATTGGGCATGATGTGTTCCAGCATTCTGGTGTAAACACATATGCCCTAGTATTGCAGGTGTTTTAGCAGTTGATCAGGCATATCAGAAAAGGGAAAAATTTAATCTCATTAATCTGGGCCACAGTGCAAGGGGCCTCTGTTTCTGTGTTTCTATTGACAGGACCAGGAAGAACAAGCTTACTTTGCAGTGTTTGATGGCCACGGAGGAGTGGATGCTGCCATTTATGCCTCCATTCACCTGCATGTTAACTTGGTACGCCAGGAGATGTTCCCCCATGATCCTGCTGAAGCCTTGTGCCGGGCCTTTCGGGTCACTGATGAACGGTTTGTACAGAAAGCAGCCAGGGAGGTATGCCTTTTTCTCATACATTCTTGTCATGACTGCACTGGCTGAGCTCAACTGATCTGTGGTTAAAGGGATATTTGTATTTTCCCGTTTGGGGCAGGCATTATTTCAAGTTCTCTTCCAAACTGTGTTTGACCCACAGTATTGGATTCTGTTGTAGTTCTAATTCTCTCTTTGGAAGAGTTTTAGTGGGGTGCTATGATGTACAGTATAGAAACTCGAAGCTGTAATTTTCTACAAAGGCACTCCATTGCTGGATCTGGCAGATGAGTTTTGTCTTTCATATTCACTATTACCTGTCAGGTTCACATGAGGACCATCTCTCTAAGCTGACTTTTGCTGATAAAAATCTGGAAATGGAGATTAAAATAATGGTCTAAAAAAGAAACCGAAGCTGGGATTACTCCCATGCATTTAGTTCTAAATGGGTTGGCAGTGTTTTGCTGTGTATCTGTTGAGGGAAAATTTGCTTGGAGACAGTGAATCCTTAGATAATCCTTGAACTGATTCTCTTAACAGGAAAAGTCAGAGCTCATGTCCTAAATTCTTGAGGTTAATCAGACATAAGGTTTTTACTCTGAATAAATGACAGGGGCTCTATATTAAGATCTAAAAGTAAAAAATTTAATTACCAGTCTGGGTATTGGTACATAATTAACTATGGTATTCTACATTCATTTCTAACTGGGGCCCAATAGAAAGAATAATTTTTAATTTTAAATGTAATTATAGTATTATATGACCTAAACATTAACTCTTCAAAATGGTTGGAGAGAACAGGGTAATCATTTTAATCCATTTCTTTGATCTCATAGTTATGCTATACAGCAGTAGTGGGGCTTAAAATTAATTAAATAATTCAGAACTATTTGTTATTAGGCAAGAGAAGTAGTCTATATTTCCCATCTATACCCCAGATTTAGATTAATAGGTAAATCCACCATCAGCAACCACTAAGGTCTACATATAGAGATGTGGGCTAGAAAACAAGATACAGTGTTGACCTCAGACCTTCCCAGTCTCTTGAGTGCTGGCACTGTCCAGCTGTTTGTCATCATTCTGACTGAGGACAAGACCCGGCCCCCGAGAGATGATCTGTAATCACCATCGTGAAACTAAGAGAATCACTTGCCTTTCTCATCCTCTGTTCTATCCCTTTTCCTCTGTGTACTCAAAAGTATGACTTTTTTCCTGACCAAGTTCATTTTATTTGCGTTGCCAGTGACCCTAGTTTATCTCAGTCCTGCCAATAGTTCTCTTGAGTAATTTAGGTTTGTCTCAACAAACAGTTAAGTTTTCTCCTTGTGCTTCCATGTGCTGCTAACTGCTGGGAAGAAAGCAGCTATTCCTGTTGCGAAGCAGCCCTGCCTCCTGTTCTCTCCAGGGCATATGCACTGCAATGTCTTTATCATGTGTTCCAGGGGGCTGAGTTTTTGAACAGTCTGTGTGGGAAGACATTTTATTGGTGGGTGAGGATTTATAACAAACTATCCCTATATAGGGAAAATGAGTTGTTCTTCTCATTGGCTACAAGGGGCCTTTTACCACCCATGACGCACTGGTTCTAATTTAGGACAAGTTCTTAATAACAGAAAGTCATGCTCATTTGGTGGTGACTCATGTCAAATGGAGATGTCATATTAATATAGTAGTATCAAGAGCATTAAGTAAAGTGATACTGAGCTATTGCAGTGAAATTCCAGGCTGTTAGTTCTTTATGCAATGTTCCAAAAACAAGTTTATAAAGTTCTCACTTCTAAAATTATTTGTTTTAAGGTATCCTAGTAAGCATCTTAGCACTAACTCCAGGGAATGTATGTCATCCCTTGGCTCCTATCTCACTGTCCAGAATATGGGAGCATTTGTGTAGCAGTCAGATGCTTTACATGTTATTCTGTAAAGTGAGGACTCTCCCCCTAAACATACAGTATGTCAGTAACAAAACAGAGCCCACAATATGGCAGTCTTTACTCTTAGAGTTGTTATAGTGGATTCAGCACTGGACTAGCAGGAAAAAGAATTTCGTTTCTCTTATGTGTACTAATCAGTTACCTGCCCTTGGACAAGTCACATAACCTATCATTGTTTTCTTACCTGTATATAAAATGGAATTAATAATTATCCCTGCCTTGCATATCACAGATAAATGGATCTATATGTGTGCACATTTAAGTACATACGTGCATATCAAAATGAGAAATTCAGATTTAGAAATAGAAATTGCTATTTATTTGTGAAATCAAGCTATTAATAATTTAGCTCCCAAATGCATATCAAAATGAGAAATTCAGACTTAGAAATAGAAATTGCTATTTGTGAAATCAAGCTATTAATAATTTAGCTCCCAACTGAAAGGTCTGAATCAATTATAAATTGCTTTTAATGAGAATGATATCTACTTATTTAAATTTTATTGTTGACAGTATTATGGGAGATGCCTCCCTTTTGCCCCCCTCCACCCAGCCCGCACCCTACTCTAGGCCTTCCCCATACTATTGTCTATCAATGGGTTATGCATATATGTTCTTAGAATTTCATATCTATGTATTTTTACTGACTCTGGTTTTATTTAAACTATTTTCAGAGCTTAAGATGTGGGACCACAGGAGTGGTGACTTTTATCAGAGGCAACATGCTACATGTAGCCTGGGTGGGTGATTCCCAGGTTATGCTTGTGAGAAAGGGCCAAGCTGTTGAACTAATGAAGCCACACAAACCAGACAGAGAAGTAAGTATGGTCTGTTCCACAAAGGCAATTTTCTGGTTATTAAGATTCTCTTAATAACATAATTATCACCATTATCTCAGCATCCATGCCCACCTTCCAAAGGAGAAATAAAGAGAAACTTTCCAGAAAGCTGATGAATATATCTGTTGTTTACTGTTAAGGTAGATGAATAAATCCTGAATCTAATTATTTGCTTCTTTTCATTGCATTGCTGTTTAGGATGAAAAGCAGCGAATTGAGGCCCTGGGAGGTTGTGTAGTCTGGTTTGGTGCCTGGCGAGTGAATGGAAGTCTATCAGTCTCCAGAGCTATTGGTAGGAAAAACCAATTTATTTTTGTTTCTCTAAACTGTCCTCTTTTGGCTCATTGTCTTATGTTAACTCTGATACAACAAGGAACCAGAGATGATAATTTATATTATCAGTGTACTTTTTATTATTTAAAACAGCAGTTGGATGGTGGCTCTGTAAATTATTTTATTTAATTAACCTACTCATTTATATGCTTAAATTCCATTACTAAAAGGGAACTGTATTAAGAAATGTAGAACTTATTAGTTTCTATCCTCCCTTATTTTTTTTAAAAGGAAGTCTTTAATCTTTGGTACACAAATCTACACGATCCTCATTTCATTTTGGGTCATATTTAGTTTAAATCAGTGTTTTCTAGAAAATGGAAACCTCCCCCCATATTTTACCTTGCTAATGTCTTTATGTCATTCATTATGAATTTTTAAATGACTAAACAACAGAGAACAAATCCATGGGGAAAACATTGTGCTTTTTAGATGAAAATAATTTTCTATATGAGGAGTGTAATAATTTGCCAGATAACCCTGGGGTTTCAAAGAATTTGCTCCCTGGGATCTAAGTTCTTCAAAAGAAGGGGAAGTCAACAAAACTGTCTAAAACTTAGAGAGTAAATAGCTAAATTGATTGGACAAAATCCAAGGATATACGTTCAGAGAATTGAGATATAGTCTACTTTCTGTCTTTGTTTCACTTTCACGCCTGAGTTTATTTTAGGTTTCATGCCTTAGCTTTATTTTCTGTTGTTGTTGCTTTTAAAGAATAAATCAATGTGAGTGCCTATATGGGTGATATGCATATGTGCATATATACTGCAGTTCTTAGTCACAGCTTCCTAAAGAAATGAGGTAATCTGACATAGGGATAACATGGATTAATGGAATTTACCTCTAATCCCCAACTTTTACTTATCATTACCAAAAATCTCAAAGAACTGATTCAATTTCACCACGGATGTGAGTTGTTCCTCCCACTCTTTGGGAAGGTACCGGCAAGCTGTGAAGTGGCCCAAATGTGGGTAGCAGAAGGCTGAGAGAGAAAGAAAAATTCTGCAAATATCTCCTAAAAAAGTGAAAGTTGGCTTTATCTTATGACTGAGGGAGTTATTAGGAACTCTGGCATAAGGCCAAATAGGGAAAACTTTCCATTTCTAAAACATTCTATATAGAATTATTTTTTGACAATTCCAACCAAAGACCTCTTCCTCTTGATCTTCCCATCTTTGTCAGTGTTTGAGAGGTATCTTTAATACCAGCTTTACTAGGGAGATACTTGACTTGTTTCTAAAAATATAACACATGGGGAAACTAAAGCAGGGGAAGAATGTCCTTGACTAAGTGACAGTCTAAGACAGAATAAGCAGACTTCACAGAGGAAGTGACTTTTGGTTGGGCATGGAGGATAGTATTCAGGGAGGAAATCCCAGGTACAGGGGGATATAAATACATGGGCGTCTGAAAGAGCGTTGTGTTTTAGGAACAGAGGCTGGGGTAGAGGTGGAAGTGCTGGTGCTAAGTTGTGAAGGGACTAAGTAGTCTGGGCTTTAACAGGTGATAAGCAGAGGGGCCCATATGATCTGGTTTGTAGTTATGTTTGTAATGGTTTGTAAGACTGTCTAGAGTAGAAAGCCTAGATGAATGATCATTCAGGAAGCTATTGATAACATTTTTACAGAGATGAGGCAGCTAAAAAGGGATACAGAGGAGGGTATAAATTGATGGGACAGAAATGACAGTTTGTGGGGGAAGAGGAAAGCTAACTTCCAGGTTTGACTTGTGTGACTGAGAAGATAAAGCATTTGTAATAAAGCAGCAGCAATTTGGTGGGTGGGGAGGAGGGCAGATGATGAGTTCATTTTGGATATATTTTATATTCTAGGTACCTCTGAATTGGAGATAGAGATTTGGGAACTCATCCCATTTTGGCAATAATATATGCAACCTCTGAAGTAACATATATATTAGTTGAAACTATGGGTATGGATGACATTGCCCAAGAAAAACCTGTAGTATGGAAAGGGAGAGCCTCATTCCTTAAGGTAGAATAACATAATGAAGTCAGCTCTCTGGGTTTGTATCTTGAATATGCCACGTTACAAGCTGTGGGCCTTGGGAAGTTTATTTCTCTGTTTCTATTTGTTTTTTGTAATGTGTGAACAGTAACAGTACCCAAGTTATGAAGTCCTTGTATTAAATAGCACAATACATGCACACACTCAGAGCTCTGTATGTCACAGTCGTAAACAGTGATTGTTAGTGCTATTTTTATTTGAGATTCTAAAATTGACTGAGAGAGAGAGAAAGGGTGAGGGGAAGAGAAACATCGATGTGAGAGTGAAGCAATCGGCTACCTCCTGCACACCCCCAACCAGGGACCAGCAGGCACGTGCTCCAACTGGCAACTCTTTGGTGCACAGGAAGATGCCCAACAACTAAGCCACATGGGCCAGAGCTGTTAGTACAATTATTATTTTTTAAAATATATTTTTATTGATTTCAGAGAGAAGGGAGAGGCAGATAAAAACATCGATAAGAAAGAATTATTGATTGGCTGCCTCCTGCATGCCCCCTACTGGGGATCAAGCCTGCAACCTGGGCATGTGCCCTGACCAAGAATCGCACAGTGACCTGACGCTCAACCACTGAGTCACACCAGCTGTGCTGTTAGTGCAATTGTTAAGTGAAGGAGCGAGTGAAGAAAATAAAGAGGGGATGAGAGTTTTAGAAGTGGGGTATCTCAGACGCTAGGGGAAGAGGGTTTCTAGGAGAAAGTAGTGAACAGGGTCAAGTGCTGCAGAGGTCAAGTGAGAAGTGGGTTAAAAAAATAAGACCTGGAATTTTGAAAATAGGGAATACAACAGGTCCTTGCATAATGTTCTGTTTACTGTCATTTTGTTATAATGTTAATGAGATGCTGTATGAACTTGCTCTTCTTTGTATTAGCCCAAGGCAGTGGTCGGCAAACCGCGGCTCGCCAGCCACATGCGGCTCTTTGGCCCCTTGACTGTGGCTCTTCCACAAAATACCACATCCAGGCGCGCACATACAGTGCGATTGAAACTTCGTGGCCCATGCTCAGAAGTCGGTTTTCGGCCTGGGCGAGTCTATTTTGAAGAAGTGGCGTTAGAAGTAGTGGGGGGTGTCAGTGGGTCGGGCAACGGGAGACTCGGCGCAGCGCAGGGGAGGCGCGCGCGATTCATGCATGAGTTGAGTGAGCCAGTCAGTCAGCAGTCTCATTGTGCAGTGGTTAGTGCTAGTCACGTCCGCAAATCGCGCACAGGTTAAGTTTATTAAGTAAAAAGTAAAGTTTATTAAGTTAATTTTAGGGAACGCTGTGGAGTGAAAGAAGATGTAGTGTCGAGGATTGAGAAAGGTATGTTGAGATGGTTTGGAAATATAGAGAGGATGAACGAAAGGAGATAGAGTGTATCTGATAGATGAAACAAGTATACAAGACAAGTGTGGATGGGAGAATTGGAAGGGGTCAACCTCAGCGAACGTACCTCAATCAGATTGAGGATGTTTTTAGCAAAGGCCAGCTTAGGAGTACCCTAATTAAGTTAATAACAATGTACCTACCTATATAGTTTAAGTTTAAAAAATTTGGCTCTCAAAAGAAATTTCAATCGTTGTACTGTTGATATTTGGCTCTGTTGACTGATGAGTTTGCCGACCACTGGCCTAAGGTAAAACTGGTTTCCTTTTATCATTTCACTTAGTCATAGAAACCTATAGATGACATTAAATGAAGGCTTACTATGATTGGTAACATCTGAGATAAAGGTGTTGGATCAGTAGGCACACAAAGCAGAAAACAATCAGGTGAGGGAAAATGAGCGGTAACATGAAGGAGCATGTGCAGATTTGGTTTCTTGGGCATTATGGTGGTGAAGGGAGACAGTGTGGTGACTTGAGGGAAAAGCTGATTTGGGAAAGTGTTGCTTTCATTGTTTTTTTTTTTTTTTTTTAGGTGAGATTTTTTTTTTTTTTTTTTCAATATGCTTTAATCTTTTAAAAATGCCAAATTTGGAAAACCAAGATGGCGGCATAGGTAAACACCGGAGATTGCTGCCTCGCACAACCACTTCAAAAATACAACTAAAAGCCCTAACTGGTTTGGCTCAGTGGATAGAGCGTCGGCCTGCGGACTCAAGGGTCCCGGGTTCGATTCCGGTCAAGGGCATGTACCTTGGTGCGGGCACATCCCCAGTGGGGAGTGTGCAGGAGGCAGCTGATCGATGTTTCTAACTCTCTATTCCTCTCCCTTCCTCTCTGTAAAAAAAAAAAAAAAAATCAATAAAATATATTAAAAAAAAAATACAACTAAAAGACGGAACGGACATCATCCCGAACCACAGGTAGGCTGGCTGAGTGGAAATTCTACAACTAGAAGGAAAGAGAAAAGCATACCGAGACTCAGAGGAGGTGCGGTGCGGAAGTAAAGTACAGAGGTACAGAGGCGCATGCGGAGAGGGCTGGCAGCTGAGGACACGGTTGTCTTTTTCAATCGGGAGGGAGTCTCAGGCTCTGAGCTCCAGTTCCGGGCGAGTCTCTGGGGACCCAGACTCATACGGGAGAAACTGGACTGTCTGGCATTGGTCGGAATTCGAGGGCAGCTTTCTCTCGGGGTGCTTGCAGCGACTGCCGAGACACTGAGAAGCAGGGCCCTTTAGGTGAGATTTTAGATCAGACCCTGTTTATACAATTAAGGAAGAGAGCAAGTAGAAGAGAAATTGAACAGGGGAGAGAGAGAAGCCAGGGTCCAAGAGCACAGGTTAGCTTTGAGAAGGGAAAGGACACCTTTTACTCTGAGAAATGGTAGCTGATATGGGTGAATCTCTACAGATTAAAAAAAAACAACAACAGAAGAAATGGGTGGAGAGGAATTGAGGAAATTTAGGATTGATAAACTCAAATTATCCTTGAAGTAGGAAATTAGGCCATCTACCCAATCCAGTAGTTTAATTGGAAGAGGGAGTTGAAAATGAGAGATTTAGAAAGCTCATGGCATAAAATAGAGGGTTAAATGGGGACAAGAAAAAGGATTCCTAAGCAGAGTTCAACTCTACTTAGGAAAAAATGACTCTTAAAGCTTTGAAAATTAAAAGCTTTAAAGCCCTTCAAATGTATGATCCAAAGTTGACTGAAGCATGATGTTTCCTAGCATATGGAGAGAGGATGCTGAAGACAAAAGGATGTTGCCATTTCTGCCATGAAATGGATAATCATGCCCTCCTACCAAATTGGGGGTGAAATGTCATGAATTTGACATCCAACAGTAGAGCAAGTGAAAAGCCAGAATTCTGGCAGCATTTCTTTTGCAAATTCTTTGTATGTTCTGTTCTAAACTAACAGTTGCAGTAGCCTTTTACTTGACACACTAAAACAAGATTTTTGGGAACAGCATGACTCAGATCACATTTATTTTTAGAGTTGGAATTCAGAAAATAATGATGATAACAATACAGTGAGGTGAAGTAGCAGAGGGGGAGATTTGTGAAGTAGATTGGTGGAGGACACTGAACCCCGTGATTGGAAGTTTTAACTAGTTTTTATAAACTAGCTAATTAAAAGGCATCATAGTATAGACGTGAAACTGACTAAATCAAAACCATGCTTGAGGAAGACAGTTCTGGTTACTGTATGGAAAAGATAGTTTACCTTGTAGATAAACTAAGGCAGGTAAATATATTCAGTATTTGTTTTTTTAGGGTATCCCTTTCAAAATGCTGGGTGGGGCATGTGGCCCACTGTTGGTGCTAGCGGAGTTCTCCATAGGGTTCCTATTCAGCTTTCTGGGTCTAGTTGAGGATTAAAAAGGAATGTGAAACATTGGGGAAAACCTATATCAGATACCAGAAACAGTGACAATATAGCCAGATCACTTAAGTATATTTATCTTTATTTTATCTTCCACTTCTCAAAATGTCCAGTTTTAGTGCAATGGAAAGGCTAATAATTGATGAGGGTTTTTAACAAGTGCTAGGATTTGGACCCAGGCAGTTGTGACTCATGCTGGCATCCTTAAACCACTAAGCTATGTCTGTCACTGCTTTACAAATGATAAAAGCACTTTATAAATTTTTAAAAAGTATTATCAATGCATTATGATACCCTGCTTAATACTCTGTTTGTTTTTCATGTTAGGAAATGAGTATCGCTTGTTGTAAGTTGTAAGTAATAATCTATTTGGTTACCTAATAGGGTAAGGACCCTTTTTGCTAGTTCTCTCCAAATCCCTAAGGAAAACAATGAATGTAGCTCTAACCGGTTTGGCTCAGTGGATAGAGTGTCGGCCAGCGGACCGAAGGGTCCCGGGTTCGATTCCGGTCAAGGGCATGTACCTTGGTTGCGGGCACATCCCCAGTAGGGGGTGTGCAGGAGGCAGCTGATAGATGTTTCTCTCTCATGATGTTTCTAACTCTCTATCCCTCTCCCTTCCTCTCTGTAAAAAAATCAATAAAATATATTAAAAAAACAAACAAAAACAATGAATGGAGTTGGAAGTGCTCTGGATCTGGAAGTTCCAAACTGCACTATAGATGATGGTTTGTCTTCATAGTCTGTGATGGAAACCTACCTCGGTGTGTGGCCCCAAGGTCTCTAGTCTGTCTCTACTCCCAGCACCCTATATTCAACTACATATTAGTCTCTAACAGTTCCCTCAACCCAGAACCCTTCTCTGCCTGGTGATAACTAACTTCTTCAAGGCCCAGCTAAAATGTCATTCTTTAAGTGGATGAGCTGAGCAAATAGGGTTTTGGGGGTGCTTATAGTTGTTCACAGGTGTGAAGGATGAGTAATAGTAGTAAAGACAGAAGGGGGGTGATCAGAAACAATTTGAAGAAAAAAGCAAGAATACGGTAGTCCCTGAAGATGAGAAAAATGATCATACACATTCTGACTGTTCTCTAGAAGTAATAAACAAAGCAGAATTTAAAAAATAGAAAGCAAATTGGACTGGGAATTGAGCCTAACATTCTAGTTCACTTGTCTGAGGCTTGGGATGACTTTTCCTGGCTTGTGGGAGTTGGACTTGATTTTTAAAAATCCCTTGTAACTCAAGCCTTCCTTTGTGTTCACAGCATGAAACTTGATTTCTAAATAAGGATATAATAAGAATTAAGTGTTTAATAAAAAGAAGTGATCAGAACTTTGGTTTGTTTTTCAATGTGGACCTGTTCTCAAATCTCAATTGATGGAAGTTAACCACCAGTAAAAGAAAAGATCTGCTAAATCCACAAGGTTTTCCTATGCAGGACTCAAGTTTCCAGTACAGCAACAAATTTAGATGTGACATTTGTTGCCATGCTCAGCTAAGCCTACGTCATAGCTAAGACATAAAATTCAGAGTCTAAGCTAGATAAGAAATTAAGCCCAGTTAATGGCAATTATACAACTGAGAGTGAGGCATAAGCAGCATCTGATTAACAGAGAATTCAAGTATTCTCTCAAACTAGATTATAAATTATTTCCAGTAATTCAGATCACAATTGCAGAATGAGTCATAGCATTGGCCATCCACATTCTTACAAGCAAGGTAAACCAAAATCTGACCTATGTTTAATTCCCACAGGAGATGCTGAACATAAGCCATATATCTGTGGGGATGCAGATTCCGCCTCTACTGTGTTGGATGGAACTGAAGACTACCTCATTCTGGCCTGCGATGGCTTCTATGACACCGTGAACCCTGATGAGGCGGTGAAAGTTGTATCTGATCACTTGAAGGAGAATAATGGAGACAGCAGCATGGTTGCCCACAAATTAGTGGCGTCAGCTCGTGATGCTGGGTCAAGTGATAACATCACAGTTATTGTGGTTTTCCTGAGGGACATGAACAAAGCTGAAAACGTTAGTGAGGAATCAGACTGGACAGAGAACTCCTTTCAAGGAGGGCAAGAAGATGGTGGGGATGATAAGGAAAATCATGGAGAGTGCAAACGCCCTTGGCCTCAGCACCAGTGCTCAGCACCAGCCGACCTAGGTTATGATGGGCGTGTGGATTCATTCACTGACAGAACTAGCCTGAGCCCAGAGTCCCAAATCAACGTGCTGGAAGACCCAGGCTACCTAGATCTCACACAAGTAGAAGCAAGCAAACCTCACAGTGCTCAGTTTTTGCCACCTGTTGAGATGTTTGGTCCTGGTGCACCAAAGAAAGCAAATCTCATTAATGAGCTAATAATGGAGAAAGAATCAGTTCAGTCATCATTGTCTGAATGGAGCGGTGCTGGAGAGTTTCCCTCTTCCTTTAATTTGGGTTCAACAGGGCAGCAGATACACAGAATGGAGAGTGTGTCTCCTGTCTGTCCTAGGTTGGAAAATGAACAGTTAAAATTCCTGGGAAATAGAGTTTCTAGATTAGCTCATTTACGCTATCACTTCTCAAAGAGGTGGCATGGATTCAGGTTTAATCCAAAGTTTAATTCATTCCTCCCTGCTCAAGAGCCTTCCCACAAAGTAGGCACAAGCCTATTTTCACTTACTTCACGTGGGAAAAGAAATAGGATGTTAAGAAGTTCTCTGCCATGGAGGCAAGATAGTTGGAAAGATTATAATGAAAACATGAGGAAGCTCAGAAAGAGTAATGATATTCCATACCCAGATCTTCCCTGGAGCTGTAAAATATAATACTTTGTCTTTAGAGTAGGCTAGCTAGCTCTTCTCCAATAAAACCACCATCAGAGTAGAAACAAGGTAGACATTTCTGAAATATGTGTTCATTATGAAATCATAAATGGCTCAATTCTTAAATGTAAATAGATCTCTAGGAAACTCAAAATAGTGATTTCAATCAAAAGAAGTTTTTTGGCAGTTTCATTAGCAAAATTATACAACTGATCCCTGTAATGTATCTCCACATCTACATACAACCCCACCCCACTGCCTCTTCACACCATTAGTGGAAGCTTGCAAGGTACTTATTTCTGTCAGGATACAGTGTTGAAATCTGGTCTGATATGCCTAATCTATCTTTGGAAAACTTAACGTAGAATTGATTTAGTTGAGGACTGTTCCTCAAAAGACTCGGGACTATGAGGGAAAACCCTCCCTTCCCCACTTTTTTGGTAAGTAAAAGACTATAAGCCATATGGGTTTTAATTGGTAACAATGAAAGTAGAAACCTAGTGTAAAAATGTCGTATTTTCAGACTTGTGAGGCAGCATAAAGATTTACTGATTTTTTTTTTCTTTTCTGTAACATAGGATAAAGCTTTTAAAATTATTTCCCAGGGCTGTAGCTATTTGGGAGTTTCATAACCTGTTATGGTGCTTTTGGTGGAATTTTTATTATTTGTCAGAAGACCACTGTCAACTGGTTTTAACCTATGATGCTAACATGTTTTTCATTGTACCTTCATCTCAGGAATAACACTGGTTTAATGGAGATGTCAGGTACATTTGAAAAGAAAATAGAATAGCATTGCTATTTTTTCTACCCCTCCCCCCCTTTTTTTTAAAGGTCAAAGACAGCAAAGCCATATACCACTATCAAATAAGAAGTGGTGCCCTAGCTGGTTTAGTTCAGTGGCTAGAGCGTCGGCCTACAGACTGAAGGGTCCCAGATTTGATTCTAGTCAAGGGCATGTACCTCAGTTGCAGGCTCGGTCCCCTGCCCTGGTGGGGGGCGTGTGGGAGGCAACCAATTGATGTGTCTCTCTCTCTCCCCCTCCCTTCTACTCTCTCTAAAACTCAATAAATATCCTCAGGTGAGGATTAACAAAAATAAGTGGTTTTGGAGAATAAAAAATAACGAGTTTTAACTTCTCTAAAACTGTTTCCCCCAAGGGAATGAATTGGTGTGAGAGAGGTTAAAAGTACTGCTTAAGCGAGCCTGGAGGCCAAGGACAAGGGAGTACAGATTACCGAGACCAAGGTCTGCTTAGTTAGAAATGGAGAACACCCCAGAGTTCTGCAACATGCAACTTCATGCAGAGAGAATGTGTATCTCTCATTTCAATATTTATTTATATTTTAAAATTGTCTGCTTTTTGCCATTTCTGCAGTTTCAAGTCAGAAGCACATCTTCAACTAAAGACAGCAAATAGAGTAATAATCAGATTCATTCAATGAAGCAGCCTGATTCTGAGAATCATGAATGTCTCCACATGACATGTTACCCTCCCCTAGTCAACTGTGGACCAGACAAGCCAATGGACAGGAGGTACCTGCTATAGTGCTCATCACTCGTACTATGAGATATTGGATACTCTTGCTGAGAAGCGTCCAATGCCTAACCATGCTTGTACATAATGCAATTACTTTATGTTCTCCAGATCCACAATGGAGGAGTCAAATCCCTGGATTTTAAAATCAGATACTTTGGGTAAAAACGGCTTCACTTTAGTGATGATCACATCATTAATTTACAGATTTTATTTTAAAAAATTGAATGTAATTAGACATTTTCAGTATTTGTTTTCCCTTGGTTTGAAGTCATTCTTTTCTCGAGGCTTGTGACCAGAATCTCACCAGCCTGGTATTTTTAACCCCCACCCCCCCCATGCACCTCACTCACATCTTTCATTTTCTCAAGCCTAGATCTTGTTAACAACCCATCAGGTGCAGTATCAGTTTCGAATCCAATTATCTAAGGAGATAAGAAAACAGAGGCAGCAGAATATTGGTATGTTATAGTCCAGCATTTAGCTAAGTTAAAAAAGAAATTAAGATTTTTCTATAACTAATGTTTTGATCAGAATAAAGCTGGTGAGAGGAAATAAGGTACAAGTGATAGTTTTTTTTCAGTGGGGGAAAATGGTTGGATGAAATTGGGATGAACACAGACCACATCTTCAGGGGTCTGGATCTTGTAGGTTTGACTACATAAGCAGTGTTAACTCCATTTTCATACCAGTAGCCCTCTAGAAAATAAAGCAAAGTAGTTCTAGTATGATCAAGTTATGAAACAGTATTGTAAAAAATAGCAAATTTTCATTTGTCCACATGCATATTTATAGAGTAGTTAGGTACCATTTGTAAGGTGAGTCCTTTAAAATTCTATAATACATATTAAAGTAGTGGTTATTGGTCTGATATATGCTGCTCTTGGTTCTATAAACCAGATAAAAGCAGTGCTTTGTGAAGTGCAGTGTTATATCTTAATGCCACTGGTGATAGAAAGTAGTTCCCTTCGGTTCAAATCCTGTGCCCTTATTTGCTGCTTGCTGATGTGAGCAATAAGTATCCTCTAACTAATGGTTTTTACACATTTCTGTAACTTGTACTTTAAGATGGTGTATCTGGTGATTGTAAAAATATTAGATAGATATAAAAGTATCTATATAATATATATTAACTGTTAATGCTGAGGTATAGTCTGTGAACTCTGTGTTTTGTACTTTTACTCACTGTGTAATTTAGTGGTGGTGAAAGTTCTATACTCAGTCTTTAAGAGTGGCAGTATCCCTTTTTGAATTTAACATGATCTGCATCAATTTCTTTGCCTGCTAAAGTTTTGTTAGAATAGGAAATAGTATAACAGTGTAAACAAGAAAGTATAGTATTGGTTAGGGAAACAGACTTCAAGTCACCAACTAAAGTGATTATAAATGCCTGTACATTCACTGTGAGTTTCAAAGGGAATCGCCCTAATTTGTTCACTTTCTGGATGTGTACTGTTGAGAGCGAGGTGATGTTAAGCAGCACTATCACATCAAACACTGGGGCTCTCCGTACCAGTTAGGTCTCTACTAGAGGACGGTGGAAATACACATGTATATACCTTTACTTTGCCTAAAAATGCCATTCATTGTCCTCAAATTAATAAAATTAAAGTTACTGTTTTATTTAAGAGGATGTTGAAAGTAACACCTTTTCCAAGGACAGTGTCAGCAACATCAATGTCAATATTGAGCCTGACCATTTATAGTGGTACAACATCCACATGGTGGTATGGTGCATCTCCCTGATTATCACATTCCATTTTGGAACACTGTGCCAGTAAGAAGTGCAACATCCAATGGGCAGATGAAAATGATACAGAAAGTTCAGTGTTTACAGATAAAACTGCTGTGGTTCAAGCACTTCCTTCCCCATCAGAGGCTGGCCAAGGCTTTGTAAGAAAGTGATGTAAATAATTATTTTGATGTTTAAACATAATTTGTTCACTCAATGGTCATTCTCACCTAAGCAAGGCCATAAAAGGTGATAGATACCCACCAACTCTTCTATTCCGACCTGTGAATAGCTAGATGTTTTTAAAACAAGATACCACCAGTATTATAACACAACTATTTTCCAGATAAATGGTACTGTGTTGAAAAACAATTACTTCCTCTAGCAGCATTTTATCTTCTATTTTGAAGATTATTTATTGTACTAATTAGGAAATATGAAATAAGATAGGGAACTCCAGACTGACACAGCAGTTGTTCTGGAAAAGGAACTACTCCAGTAAACTCTGATGTATTGGATAACCCACAGATGTATCATCAGTAACCTACTCTGGGTGCTCTTTGGTGAGAGACAGGCTTTGTCCTCTTGTTCATGACATTTCTCTGCAAAGAAATTCTCTATGGAGTGAAGCAAATGAAGTAAACATTTCTTACCAAGTAAATTTATCAACTTAAGAACCTGCTCTACATCTCACTCTTGAGTTCAGTCGCAATCACCAGTGATCCTTCATACTTTATTAAAACTGTTCATTCAGGTGAGAAGTATGTTGAAATTTTGCCAATATCTTAATAAAACCCAGCAATTTAAAACCACTAGTCATTTGTCTTTTTATCCAAAGGAAATATATTTAGTGCTGGAATTTAGCTTGATTCCCTCAGAACTGAAAATAAAATCCTGAGGTGGTAGTTTTCTTAAACTTTAAAGTAGAAATATTGTTTTTAAAAAGTTGCCATAACTGTTATTTCCTTCCCTGAAATACATAAGATATGTATTTCATCTTCTATATGTTTTCCCTGTAAGTTTAAATGGGGGGGCGGGGAGGGAGGGTAAGTAGAGGGGTTAGTATCCTCAAATAGATGAGGAACAGGACCTGCCAAAGGCTAAGTGTTAACTCCTCAAATCTACCAACTACTTTAGTCTTTAAACTGCATCCAACCAGTTTTTCCCTTTCACTTTATTCTTTCCCTTTTGTTTTAAACTGTAAAGAAAGGAAAATAATCAGGTGAATTGCACTTGAAATTCTGTCTGGAGGTTTGCTGTTAAGAGATTTAATAGGAGATAGAGACAGAAAGGTTGGGGGTGGAAGTGAAGCTAATAAAGCAAGACACCTGCATCTAAGTGAATGGAATTAAACATGCAAAACAAGTATATCTAATTAATAAACTGCACTGTTTATACTCTTCTCCCCACCACTAAGTCCAGAAAGTACTTAAACCCCTAATTCCCTAAATTCATTCAGCACTTAGTGTGATTTAAATGGAAATGAAAGAAAGCAAGAATTGAGAGAAAAAGCAAAGGTCTGAAAGAATCATATTTGAAGTTTGCTAAAGCTGGGAATAAAAGAAAAGGAATATTGTGATAGTATTATTTATACTTGAAAAAAATCCCCTAATACACCATTTACTTAGTTCAAAAGAAACATCTCTTTCTGAAGGAAACAACAAACCCATAGAAGAACATATAAGAGCTGTGGGACAATATCAGTTTAACATATGAATAATTAGGATCCTAGAAGAGAAAGACAATGGGCAGAAGAAATAATGGCTGAGAATTTTCCAAAATTAATGATAGACACCAAATGATAGATCCCAAGAAGTTCAGAACACTAAGCAGGTTAAATACCAAAAACACACTCCTACAGGGTGGGGGGAACACAACACCTTCCAAGTGGTTTCATTGGCAAATTCTGATCAAGGGTAACACCAATTCTATACATTCTTTCAGAAAAAGAGATGATCATTTTATTAGGACAGCATTAATCTGATACCAAATTAGATGAAAACAGAACTACAGACCAATAACAATCCCTCGTGAATATAATGCAAAAATCCTCAGCAAAATATTAGCAAACTACATACTTACTAGAGTATCACTACATACATACTAGAATAACTCAAATTAAAAATAATGACAGGACCAAGTGTTTGTGGGATGATACTGGTACCCTCATTATGTTGCTGTTGGGCATGCAAAATGGCAGTGCTACTTTTGGAAAAGTTTGGCAGTTTCTTATAAAATCACATGACCCAGTGAAATGACTTCTGTCACCAACTTCACAGGTTAAAGGCAAAGTCCTCCACGAGACTGCTCTTACTTCAGATGCCAGGTTTGGAAGTCCCAGGCCACCAGTTGGCTACAAATTTGGGAGTTCCCACCAGTGCCCATTAGGTTTGATAATTGGCTTGAGCAGCTCTCAGAACTCAGGAAAATACATTGCTTACAATTCCAGTTTTATAAGGATACAAATCAGAACCAGGGAAAAGGAGAGACACAATAGGCAGTGGTTCTCAACCTGTGGGTCACAAACAATGAAAATACATCCTGCATATCAGATATTTATATTACGATTCATAACAGTAGCAAAATTACAGTTATGAAGTAGCAACGAAAATAATTTTATGGTTGGGGGTCACCACAACATGAGGAACTGTATTAAAGGGTCACGGCATTAGGAAGGTTGAGAACCACTGCATAGGGTGAAGTGTAGGAGAGTCCCAATGTGAAGCTCCCTTGTGATCAGGGCATGTTACCCTCCCGAACCATCAACACATGACAATACAGAGTATTGCCAAGCAGGGAAGCACATTCAGAGCTTCAGTGTGCAGAGTTCTTACTGGGTTTCACTCAGTAGCCATGACTGACTCACTGGAAATAAGGACGAACTATTCAGGCTCATATCATGTGACTCTTAGCCCCGATCCTCTAATCACAAGGTTAGTCTTTCGGCATGGCAGCCACATCCTGAGTCATCTCTTTAGCATAAACTATCAGGAACCACACTCCTATCACTCAGAAAATTCTAAGCACTAAGAGGCTATATCCCAAGAACCAGGGACAAAAGCCAACCAAATTCTCTATTACACACCCAGCAATCCCACTCCAAGGCATATATTACCTTATGGAAATCAATGTTCACACAAAAACCTATACAAAATGTTTATAAAGTTCATAATCACCCCAAGACTGGAAATAACCCAAATGTCCTTCAACGGTTAAATGAATAAACATTTATACAGTGAAATATTACTTGGCAATAAAAAGGAATGAAGTGCCAATTTAGAGAAGATGGATGAGAATGCTAAGTGAAAGGCTACAATAATTCTATGAGTCTGGAAAAGAGAAAACTAAAAGGACAGAATTACCAGGGGCTGGGTGGTGGGGGATTTTACCTATAAAGAGCCAACACAAGGGAATTTGGGGGTATTGAGCTGTTCTGTACAGTAGCAGATACATGACTGTATTTGTCAAAAGCCACAGAACTGTATATCACAAAGGCAATTTAATATATGTAAATTAAAAAACCAACCAGGATGTGTGGGGGAAGACAGAATGCGGATTAACAGATGAATCTAACAATATTAAAATGAGCCACATAATCACACTGGAGAGACTAGGAAAAAAGAAACTAGTGTAACTCTGAGTCATAATATCTAAGTAACTTTGGAAAAAGTGTTTTGACATCACACTCAAAGGCTAAAATCTGTATAAAAGCACTGTACTGCAGTTGGTGAATTTGTTTCTCTTAAGAGTATAGGTCAACAAATCTTTGTTTCTAAATACGATTGTCCAAAAAAGGGGGCATGGTTGAGCCTGGAGCAGGATCCAGACCAGGATCCTGTGGGGGCAGGGAGGGAAGGAAGGAAGAAGAGGGAGGACAGGGAGAGAGGGAAGGAAGGAGACACAGGGAACATATCAAAAGGATACAGGAGCCAACCTGAAAGAGCTTCAAATAGCCAAAACTGGAACAAACTGAACTGCAAAATAATGACAGTACTGGAACACAATTCAAAGAATAAATATCCATGAGTCAAAACTCGTGTAAATAAGTAGCTGGGGGGAAAAATGGAGAAGGGACTTTTCCTTAAGAATTCTAATAATAAATGTAGAAGAAATAACAAACCACCATTAGAATACTGCAGTAATAACTGCCATAGGCAAGATCCACTACTGGATGCTAAAATTAGCTGTTAAGAACAGAAATATTTGCACAGTCTGAAAAGTATTTGCCCCAAATATTTAGTAATTACAAAGGGAAAAATATTAACGGGGGGAATTATGACAGACACCACCATAACCAAGTAAGATTAACATCACCAATAATAAGCATCTGCACCAAACAGTCCCTGATCCGACGCACTTGGAAGGGTATATCACTTCTGTGGTAGCCTTCCCAATAACACACAAGCTCAACTGAAAATGAGAAAATATCAGACGAATCCAAATAGAGAAACATTCTATAAAATACAGTTGACCCTTGAACAAGACAGTGGTTAGGAGCAGTGACCTCCCACACAGTCAAAACTTCTGACTCCCCCAAAACTTTAGTCATCCCTGGGTATCTGTGGGGGATTGGTTCCAGCAGTCACCAAAACCCATGGATGCTCAAGTCCCTTATAGAAAATGTCGAAGAACAATGCATACAGTCAGCATACTGTTTTTGATCCTTGCTTGGCTGAATAAGCAGGTGTAAAACCCAGAGACACAGAGGGCCAACTATATACTTATTGGGGAAAAAACATGCATGTAAGTGGACCTATGAAGTTCAAACCCATGTTTTTCAAGGGTCAACTATAATTGGTTGTCTTCAACAATGTCAAGGTCATGAAAAACAAGAAGAGACTGAGGAACTGTCACAGACGGAAGGAGACATGACAACTAATTGCATTGTGGCATCCTGGTCTGGATCCTGGAACAGAAAAAAGTGTGTTAGTGAAATTAACTGGAGAAATCTGAATAAATTCTGTAGTTTAGTTAACAGAATTATAAACGACTGATTTCTTTGTTTTGTTCACTATTCTGTGGTTATGTAAGATGTTAACAAAAGGAGAAGCTGGGTAATAGGCATACAGGAACTCAAGATTTTTGCATGTCTCTTGTAAATCTAAAGTCATCTAAAAATGTTTTAAAAAGTCACAATCTTTAGGTCTTTAATCATGAGGTTTTAAAATGGTGGGTTTGGTTCAAGTATGGTAAATTGGAAGTGCTAGACTAGCAATTCCTTCCATTCTTGCCAATGGTGTTGAACCTTCAGAGAACCACAGAACTTCCCTGAACCTATTTCTCTGCCAAAATGGTCCGACGCACAACTTATCTACCTCAAAGGTTACTTCAGGGTTCAATGACACAGTTGGTCCAAGCTGTACAGAAATGATATGCTTGTGCAAAATGCAAACGTTACCACCGTATCTTTAGGCCTAAGAGAAAGTATTAAGGAGACATTTTCTAGGAACGAAAAGATAAAAATATTAAATACTGAGCAAGGTGATGGTGGAAGCAAAGACTACGACAAATTATGTTCTTCAGCAAAAGAGGGAACCTTTTTTTTTAAAGGTGGGGACTCTGTAATGGTACAGAGTGGAGCAACGGATTAGAAATTGGTTCCTTATATCGATTGTGGGTGATGACAGCTATACCTGGGAAAATGGAAGAGATCTCATTTGCACCAGATCTTTTGCAGACCAGAACAAGGACAACCAATGGGGAGAGGGGAAAAGAACTGGTATCTTCCCTCATTGCTATCTAAACTTTAGCACAGCCAAAACAGGCATACCACATCGAAGAGGGAAAGCATGAGGGTGCCTGGCACCACTGGGGACTTGGATGCAGACTTAGTATGTAACACGGCTAGAAACAAGGGAAGGAATCACATTTTCCAAAGATCCCACTACTAAAAGCTAACAGGTACTTCATCTTTGAAGAAATTTTTTGATCTGTAGGTTTATGATTCTAGAATGATGGGATAGCAGCTGCCTATCCATCATCCTGTATCCAGAAAACTAAGCACAAATAACTAATTAAATGTTCAATCTTTTTTGACTTAAAAATCATGCTTTCTTAAACTTAAGCATTCTCCTATCTTCTCTATATTGAGAAAAAGTGATACTCCCATAAATTCTAATGACAGAACAGAAGTCAGCAAACTATCTCTTAAAGAGGTGAAAGTAAATATTTTAGACTCTGGGAATCAGGTTTTGTTAGCAGCCACTCAACTCTGTCTTTGTAGGGAAAAGCAGCTATTGACAATCTGTAGATGAATGGATGTGGCTTTGGTCCAATAAACTTTATTTACAAAAACAGACAGTGGTAGGGACTTGGCCCAAAGATAGTTGTTTGTCTCCCCCTTGAAAGAATGCTAGGTAGAAACTTGCTAATTGGATCCCAGACATTTTCCTCAATGGATTGTGTGAATGTGTATATATATTCTGCATATTTCTTGCTATTTCATAATTCACAAACATTAGTTGAGGTGAGATGGAACCCAACAAAACAGGCATGATTTTCTTCATCATAGGAGAATGCTTTTGAGTACAATACGTTTTTATTTAACATCGTCAGTAGGTTCTGCAACGTTAAGCAAAACAACATAAAACGAAACAAATTTGCCCTAACTGGTTTGGCTCAGTGGATGGAGCATCAGCCTGTGGACTCAGGGGTCCCAGGTTCGATTCCGGTCAAGGGCATGTACCTTGGTTGCGGGCACATCCCCAGAAGGGGGTGTGCAGAAGGCAGCTGATCAATGTTTCTCTCTCCTGGATGTTTCTGGCTCTCTATCCCTCTCCCTTCCTCTCTGTAAAAAAAAAATAAATCAATAAAATATATTAAAAAAAACAAAACGAAACAAATTTTACCACAGGCTAACCATATACTGAAGAGTCGAGTTCCTATGTTAGTCCCTATGCCATCGAACAAAATGATGTTATCTGAGGCCCTGCTGGACTGAGCGCATCTTTTAGTTCAGGGGTGGGGAACCTTGTTTCTGCCAAGGGCCATTTGAATATTTACAGCATCATTCGTGAGCCATACAAAATTATCAACTTAAAAATTAGCCTGCTATATTTGGTCAACTCACCCCTAATGCCTTGGCAGGGTCAGACCAAATGATTTCACAGGCCTTATATGGCCTGTGGGCCGGATGTTCCCCATCCCTGCTTTAGGTACTTACAAATTTGTTTTTCTTTTTTGGTGAAACTGTTGTCAACTTTAATTGCAAAAATGGAGATTTATTTTACTAGGAGGGTAGTTAATATCATTTCTTTAGAAGCTTAGTTTTTTTGAAGGGATAGATTTTATTGTTAAACATGGAGTCAGAATATGCTATAAATGCGTTGGGTTCCTTGAACACATAAGATAATATACCAATTAAGTTCAAATAATTTCCCCTACAAAATTTTTGTGCAAGTATAACAAGTAATACCTTCTAATTTTCCTATAGCCATTAATAACCAAAAATAGTCTTGCTGACATAGTGAACTCAAACTCCACCAATTTAAAAGGGTCTCAACTAATTCTCCATTCATCTAAAATAAGGGCAGCACTCCTGACTGTTTTTATACATAGTAACCTGAGAGGATAAGAAAAGCCAAAAAAAAAAAAAAATACTTGAGATCCAAGTGTACTGTGATCTAAGTATCACTATGAAATTTGGGGAATTCAATGATTTAAAAAACCTCAAGGTCATGAAAAATAAGAGCAAAATTTAAGAACACTTCCTATATAATAAAAGCCTAATATGCAAATTGTCCCCTCTGGTGGTGGTTCGACCAAGAGACCGGAAGTTCAACCGCTCGCTATTACGTGTGCTGACCACCAGGGGACGGCACGGAACATGGCAGGCGTCAGTGTCGAGCTGTGACCTCTCGCCAGCTACCTGGGGGCGGGGGTGATGGGGACAGAGGTGTGGTGAGAATGCGGGATGTCTGCCCGAGCTTGCTCTCACTCCCCCTGGACGCCAGGGCTCGCATGCCACCTCCCACTGCACTCAGGTGCTGGGCGCCCGTGAGGAGCCCACCCGGCACTCGCGCCACATCTTCCAGGTGAGCTGGGCCGCAGCTGCCAGGACCGCAGGGGCCGGTTCATGCAGGAGCTGGTCTGTGAGGCTGAGAGAGCATGCTGCCCGCCCAGCTTCCATGTGGCGCCACTGGGCAGCCCAGAGGCCCACGCTGCACCCTGGCCCGTGGCGTCCAGCTGTGCTCACCACATCTCCGTGTGGGGACTTGGGTACTGTGACTCAGGTGGAGGGGAGCGCACGGGAGCCCAGGTGCTGCCCATGGCCCAGAGGTCAGCTGGGACTTGCCCTTCCATGCCAGATGCTCGCACTTCGATCGCAGGCCAGGCCTAGGGACTACACCCGTGCAGGAATTTTGTGCACCGGGCCTCTAGTATGATTACAAACTATGTTCCTATATGTACATATCTATGCTAAAGTTTCATTTATAAATTAGGCAGATTAAGAGATTAACAACAATAAAATACAATAATTATATTAATACTCTCCAGTAATTCTTCTATTTTTCAGTCCAAACCTATTCCTGAATCTACTTGATGCCACTCATTTCCGGGTACCCCTTGCTTAAGTCTTCCTATGGGCTCAATTCTTGCTGGTGCAACACAAAGCAGGATGGCACCAGATTTTATCACGCTACAAAACAGCGCACAATTTAAAATGTATGTTTCTATCTGGAATTTTCCATTTAATATTTTTGGATCATAGGTAACTGAAATCATGGAGCACAAAACTGTGGATAAGGGGATACTACTGTATATAGATTAATGACCCAAGAAAATCGCAAGGCTAAATCACTCATGCTAAGAAGCTCTTACAAGTAAATTTCCCTAAGTGAAGAGTCTATTCCCAGGCTTCTCTTATTTCTTAAACACATGCAGTTTCACATATTTTGAAAATAAATAGAATTACAAAGACATATGGAAAAGCACTCAGTTCTATATCAAAACTATATAGGTCAAGAAATGGCTAGGCAACAGTGAGAGATTCAAAGTGTCAATCACTTACGTTTATGGATTTATTTTTAAAAAAAACCTCATTTTTCACAATGGTTTGCTCTCAACACTAAAGGTGCAAAATTCTTACATTATATTTTCATCTATTACAATGTAGTTAGAGATAAGAAAAAGCTGGATTAAAAATATGATCTCATCAAAATGTAATGACCATGAGCACATTTCTAATAGAAAATGTTAGATTACTGCATGACAAACTACGTAATAATTATGCAACAGCATGCCAATTAACATGTTAGTAAACAAGTGCTAAATTTTTACTTTTCCTAAGATGATAGTTCTTAAATATTTTCAATTAACTTTTAAAGAGAAAAGGTAACCATATATATTAAGGACATTATAAATAAGTCTCCTAACTTCCCATGCATTTACTAACTAACAGTCTACAGAGCTCAACAGCCTCTATAATATGCAGGCAATATAAATAGGGAAAAAAAGGAGGCTTCCTGTCCCACTTCTAATAAATTGCAGAGGCATAATATTTTCTCAAGTTCATTTTATTAACAAAAAGAGCAAACTGTTTTGAACAAAAGCAAACCATGAATCATAGCAACCGGCAACACATTAGACATGGAAAAGTGAGTATTAAGTAAAATATAAGCAGATGAGATGCCTCTCACATATATATATTCATGCTTTTTCAATAGTCTCAGTCAACTTTCAGTGTAATTTTCACCAACAGTCTAGCAGCTCAAACACAAATGCAGGAGCACAATGGCAAAAGTTTGGCAACTACTTTGGGCTCATTGCAAGTATGAAAGAAACCTATACCACAGTTTCATGTAAACCTGCAATTTGTATTTCTTTAAATGTCCCTGACACTGAAATCAATGTCCAACTAATGAAATAAAGGAGAAAAAGAGGACATTAAATACTTGTACTTTAGAGGCAGAAAAAATGAGATACTTTAAATGATCTTATACACGTTCATGTAACCAGGAATATAACCAATCCACATTAACTTATTTACTAGTAAAAATACACTTGTAAAAGTCACACAATAGAAAGATTATGAGCCATTGATCAGTGTGCCTGCACTTGAAAAAACACACGAAAAGATAAATAAGTTAACTTTAGTTAGTGTAGTGTTACTTCAGTCATTCACATAATAAAGTATCTACGGGACAGAATCTACACATAAGTAATTTTTCTGTTCACTAATCTACAGGCACTAATGAAACTATACACTGATTAAAACCCAAAAGCCAGTCACTTAAACACAACTGAGCATCTAGCCAAAAACAGGACAGCACCGGTGGCGAGCATCACTGAGCGCATGCACGTCTCTGGGGACATTTTTCGGCAGTTACTTGCCCTTCTATTGTAGTCGACAAACTGCTCTTTAAGAATATACTACTTTACTAAATTAATTAAGGACTACATGTTTATTTACTACATCACACAGAATTCTTCCCACACTTTTTTTCCTGTGTACTAAAGTCTTCTACTAGAATTGTGCTACTTTCTAAAGTTTCATAATTATCATTTCAGGTAGATATGATGAAAAAAAATTAGACAAGATCTGACAGATGACAATTTGAGCACCAACTACAGCATATTTCAGGGTCAAGATAGCTTGCAAGTCAGTTCTCTTGGTTTAAAAATTACCTTCCACTGTTGTCTTCAGTATTGAAGCTGAGATCTTCAAGGCCTATTTGTTCACCATCAGGAAAACTGGAATGCGTATCTAAGATAAAAAAGAAAAGAAAAACAGATTACATTTTCTAATGACCAGTATTTTTTTGCATGTCTTTAAATGATCTTACCAAGTATGGTATTTAAGCAATGAAGACTTGCTGGGTTGTGAACAAAGCTGTCTTTAGGGAATTTGTGACCTGAGTCAGGTGCAAGCAAACACAAGGAGAAATAAAGGAGAAAAGAAAGGTGCAATAGATATCCATAGTTAGAAAATGAAAGGCACTGCCTCACTTTGTCCTCCAGGGACACTGTGGGGGCAGCTGAAGAAGGAACAGGAAATGGTGATGTACACTCTGAAGACTGTATAAACATAAAATGTATTGTAAAGCCAATTAAATTGCACAAATATCACGACAAACACATACCAGCATTCAAAAACTTGCCAAAAGTTGGCTGCTTCTTTTGGAAAGAGAAAAAACTACTAAAAGTGTTTTAATACTTAAAAATCATCAAATGCGTGGCTCTCTATTAGACACTAGATAGAACATGAGGGAAATACGTAAAATATAAAGCTGATAATTAGCATAAGCCTGGCAACATTCTCATCCCAGGAATTCTTCTGAATGCTCAGATTGATCATTAAGGTCTCTGGATAAAATTAACAGTGGGTGATAGATGTTAACTAAACTTACTGTGGCAATCATTTTGCAATACATACATGCGTATATACACAAAACATTATGTTTAATACCTCAAACAAACCAAAAATATTAACAATGGGTTTCTCTCAGTGAGTTTTTTTCCTAAGACATTTTTGGGAGGAAGAGGAAATAATAACTTATGATTCCATTATCTGCATATATTTCTAGAAAAATCAGAAAAAGTTCTAGACTATAAATATTTCTAAAAAGAAAAAAGTCAAACATCTGAAACCTCCCTAGGGGCTGGCAAACATCTACTACAAATGGGCAGAGAGTAAATACTAGTACGTAGGTACCACAGGCCACAAATGGACTCCGTTTTATAACTTTACAACAGAAAAGCTATTCTTAAAGGACCACAGGCTATACTGGAGCAGGTTCCCGACCCCTGCTTTACTCAATAAGTAGCACCCCATTAGGTGTCTGACCAGCCAAATATTACCTACTAATTTTCTTCAGTTCTCACCATTTAGTTTACCCCATATATATTAGTATTGTCTCATAAATGACAATAATTAAAACAGAAAGAGAAGCAGAAGTAGAAACAGAAGCAAATCAGCAGCAGCAGCAGCAGAATTGGCTCTATTCATCTCCGTGAAGTGACACCAGGCTCTGCACCTTCATCTGGGGGCTGTGCTGTGAAAGCGTCGTTGAATCCGCCCAGGCTGGTGTGCTCTTCCTGCTCCTCATTCTCGGTGTCACATTCCACATCACTGTCGCTACTCATTCCTGCCAGGAAAGAAGGGAAGAACATGTCTCTGACAAGCAGCCACTTCAAGTGAAAGGCAGAGGAAATCTTACAACTAAACTGTGATTCCCACTGAATTTTACATTGAATGCCAAGACAATATAAGACACCACACAAAACAAGGAAAACCAACCACACAAACCTCAGTTCTAATTATTAGAGCAGTGGTCTTATTTTTGTCCTCAAAGATTAAAATTACCCTTTCCACAGTACCTGAATTTGAAACCAGTATTAATTTCATTATACTGAGAATTTTTTTTCTGAAATCACACTGTATTTTCTAGAATCATACGAGATAACAGTAACTCTCAATCCCGACTGGACATACATATAATTGTTTCTAGCCTAAAACATATAAACATGTTACGTAAACAAAATACACATTTATCTGCATATGCATGTTTAAAAAAATTCCAGTAATTCTAGCAATAAATGAGTTACTATCCCATTTGGGCCTCCAATTTTGTATTTGTGTACTTAAGCTGATTTTTAAGAGAAAAAGTCTATAGAAAGTATTTCTATTACAAGAAGATAGTGATCAAGAAAATATGAAAATATATCTGCTACACACCCTTATAAATGGTGGAAAAAAAGTAACCTTAAAATATTTTAACTAAGAGCCACATTTAAAAGAAAGAAGTGAAAAAGCCACAGCTGCCAAAAGGAGCAGGAGAAGGGAGACCAGTGGGTCCAGCACCACAGTTGTCCAGAGGGTGTAACGTGAGGGTCTTTCACACTCCCTTGGGGATAGGGGGGGAAAAATCTTTGGACTAAAACTCTGCCTACTGGCATAGAAAGACAGCAGGGAATTTTGTCTGTTTTTGCTAGGCTCAGTTCATATAAGAATTCAAACTAAAGCCTGTGTACTTAAACAACTTAGGTTTGGGATTTAAAGTTAAGGTTCAAAGATCAGGAAATTAACATAAAAATTGGCCAGCGGCTAGGGTTATTTTAACAAAGCAAATGCAAAATCCTTTGAAGGGAAGGCTCTAGGTAAAGGGAGTAAGCACATCCCATCCAGTCTTTCCCACTGAATGGAACTATAAATGTGGACAGAATGCATGAAGCCGCTATTTAAGGACTCTGAAAAGTAAATAGAAACAAGCATATTGGTGTAGACCAGAATTTGAAGTACCACCAAATTGGCAGATTTAAACAAGACTCAGAGTCTCATAAAATCATATTAAAAATGTCCAGGATACAATCCAAAATTACCTCAGCAAATGAAGAACCAGAAAAAGATAATCAACAAACATCAATGCTGAGATGACAGAGATGTTGAAATTATCTAACAAAGAACTTCAAAGTAGATATAAAAATGCTCATGAACACTCTTGAAACTTGTTAAAAACCTCTCTGGAGGAACGCTTCCACAATCCAGGTACAAAATTATCATAGAAAAAAGAAAATAAAGAATTCTTGAAGGGTAGGGTTGGGAGTCTCAAAAAGTTGTGTTCCAATCAAAATTTACAACACAAACAAACAATGTGGATTACAACATTACAATCCACCTGAAGAGTCAAGCAGATATACAGACAGAACAATACCATGAATATTTCACTATCATGAAATAACTTGTAAAAGACTAATGTGGAAAACAAAAGGATACTTTTTAAATTACTAAGTACTTCTAGAAATGAAAGATATAGTCATTTCAAAATTAAAATATTAATAGATGAATTTAGAGAGATTTTTTAATATATTTTTATTGATTTTTTTTTTTTACAGAGAGGAAGGGAGAGGGATAGAGAGTCAGAAACATCGACCAGCTGCCTCCTGCACACCTCCCACTGGGGATGTGCCCGCAACCAAGGTACAGGCCCTTGACCGGAATCGAACCTGGGACCTTTCAGTCCGCAGGCCGACGCTCTATCCACTGAGCCAAACCGGTTTGGCAAAAGATGAATTTAAAAAGTTGAAAAACAGGTTGCAAGCTTAAAGATAGAACTGAGGAAATTACCCATACACCAAAGAAAAATGAGATGAAAATTATAAAACAGAGGTTTAAGAAACAAGGGGATAAAAGGGAATGTTTCAAACATATTGCCACAGAGATAGCAAAAGTAACAAAGGAGAGGGATAATATATTAGGAGAAAGTGGCTGTGAATTTCCCAGGATTAATGAAAAACATTCTGAATAGAAGGAAAATTAAAATATAACTACCAATAGCTCTGGAATGTGGCTATAGCAGTGTTTAAAGGGAAAGTTACAGCATTAACGGCTTTTATTAGAAAAGAGAAAAAGGTCTCAAATTAATGATCAAAGTACCCACTTTAAGAAACTAGAAAAGGGAACACATAAACCCAAAGGGAGAAAAATAACAGAAATAAAATTATCAGAAAAATAATAGAAAAAGCTTCTAAAGAGACTTTAAAAATAGCAAACAAAATCCAGTATCAGGAATAGAAGAGGGGACATCACTACAGATCCTACAGACATTAAAAGGACAATAAGCGAATAGAAACAATTTAATGCTCATGAAATCAAGAACATGGATGGGAAGGACAAATTCTTTGATTCAGACACAAACTACCAAAGTTCATTCAGATAAAAATATAGGTAACTTGAATGGGTATTTTAACTACTAAAGAAATACAATTTGCAGTAAAAAGCGAACAACCAAAAACATCAACAAAAAACCACCTTCCAACAAAGAAAACTGTAGCTACAGATGGCTTCACTGGTGAACTCTTCCCCTTCTGTTTTCAAGAAGAGTTTATGTAGTACTAGAGGCCCGATGCACAAAATCCACAAAATCCGGGCAAGAGTAGGCATTCCTTCACCCTGGCTGCCTACACGGGCTTCCCTCTCACAGCCCTGGCTCGAAGGCAGGTCTAATTAGCATATTATGCTTTTATTATTATAAGATTATTTCTCCCCTTAACTATTTAGAAGACACAGGCAATGTATGGATATCTCTGAAATCTCGTTTTTAAAGTATGTCTTTATTGATTTATTTTTTAAAATGTTTTTATTGATTTCAGAGAGTGGAAGAGAGAGAAACATCGATGATGAGAGAGAATCATCGATCAGCCGACACCTGTGTGCTCCCCCATGAGGATGAAGTCCGTAACCCCAGCATGTGCCCTGACCCAGAATCCAACCGTGACCTCCTGGTTCATAGGTCAACAACACTCAATCACTGAGCTACACTGGCTGGGCTGAAATCTCTTTAGCAAAGAAAAGGAGAGAAAAAATTACTTCTTGCTCTAGAAAGTGAACAGTGACTGTTTAGAGACCAAACCACCACTTCCATGAAGCAGCACCACCACCACCTTGTGGCCTTTCCTGGAACTGTTCTGAAAACAATAAAACCCAGTTCTTGAAATTTAGGCACAAATTTTACCTCTTGGAACTGGTGTTTCAGAATTCCTGACAGATACTAACCTTCAGGATGCACCAACTGAAATTCTCTGGATTTCCCAAAAACATAACTTATTCTTTAAATACGTACAACATTACAACATTTTTCAAACTCTTCATTTAAAAAACTGTTTAATTTGTAGTACTTCTAAGAACTGTAGGCTACAGTGAATATTCCTGGATAGTATTCAAATAATGTAACGTTTAGAACTTTTAGCAAGGTTTATAGTACTGCATATAGAATCATAGGTGGAAAATGCCAATTAAAACAATTATTTTGTTTCCCAAACACCTATTTCTTATAACACTACTCATGAGATTCCTGTATAGTATAAACCCATGAATATTTACACAGCAGCTGACAGAGCCATGCACACTTATAAAATGACAAAGCTATATTAACCAGAACTGATTTGCTTGTGATCACTTCTTTCCAAGGTGCTCCTGTTTATCTTAACCTTTGATTCCAGGTATCAACATTTTCAGTTTGCTGTAATTGGATTCCTTCAAACCAGTCATGTTTCTGTATTGATTGTTAAGATGAATTCTAACAGGAGAATTAGAGTAACTTTTCCATTTTTTTATTTGAATCATTTTTCTCAGGATTCAGGAAAACATACATTTTTCCAAGAAATACTGCATGAAAAAACTACTACTGGTCTCTTATCAAGTCTTAAGATGTGGAAGTGCCCTAGCTTTGTAAATATAACGAGAAAGACAAATTAAAATTAGTCTCTTGACCTCTAGCATTTAATAGCTGGACTACTAGGTCAAAAGGTCCTGTACAACTTATTACCATCAGTAACTGAGAGAGAGCAAACTCTTTCAAATATTTTCATTTTTTTGAAATGAGACTAGCCTCTATCCAGCAACAGGCCTCAAGCTATCTGCTATGCCTTGCCCCATATACTGCAAAGTCTACCTACCCACTGCATTAAGCAGTAATAATTAAAGCAAACTAGTGATGTTTCATCTACTCTAAGAAATTTGAGTACTGGACCTTTCTTGATCTCACTAGAAGGTGTCAACAGGTTTTCACACAACTGGCTGTTACTGATAGTAATAATAAGGTACCATTAAACATAAGATGTTTTAGAGATGTTAGTGTGGAAAAAATTTGAAATAGGGTATTTCTACATCAAGCGCCTACCACACTTTTTGAGCACCCTTATGCTCAGTACTGTCCAAAGCCAACTTTCGAGTTGTAACTCCTTATTCACGGGCGCTCAAATTTCTGATGCTTGGAAAATACATTAACCACTTGGTATACCAAAAACTTATGCTTCACCTGTCTTCTTCCTTTCTAACAGAACCCCAATATTGTTTCACATTACCATGTAAAATGGGCCAGAGGGAACCAATGTTTAAACTTTGCCAAGTTTCCTTTTCTTGCCAGTGATTGAGATATAAGAGGAAATTAGATGTTGTTGAGGTCCTCTGAGAAAGGCTTTCCTTGTTGATAGAGACACACAGAAATAATCCTTCCTTACTCCCAGAATGTGTTGACTCTATATAAAGTTTAGAACTGCAGCAACCAACTTGCCATCCTGAGGGGAGCTGAGCCAACTCACTGAGTGGCAGAATAAAATATGACAGTGAGTGGCTAAATTTTCCAAC